TTATTTTTGCAGTTACTTTGTGACATCTGCCACCCTTTTGTATTACTAAGAACAAGGAAGACCCTTTCACTTCGGTGCTCAAGCAGTTTTAAGCTCTGGCTCCTACAGTCCTCCTGGAAGGACTAGTTCCTAAGTAAATTCAGGTGTCCAGCACTGACACTGTAACCTGCTCCTGTGTCAGGGCTGTAAAGAAGTTATATAGATTACCAAAAATATAGGAAGGTGCTGGAATTAGGTAGTTGGGATATTTCTGAAGGTTTCACTTAATTTTGGAAGCTGTTTATTCTAGTGACATGAAACACAGTCAAGACATCCCCAATACTTTTGTTTCAAATACTTCCAGAACACCGGGAAATTACCTTAAACTCAGATTTAGAAGACCTCTGCTCTAAGTGAAATTGCTGACATGTATAAAAAGGAGGAGCTTTTCAGAGAACTTCAGGTAGAATAGATTCACTCTTGGGTGCATGAGGGACAGTAATAGATAAATATTCTTAACTGCTTTGTCAGAATGTTAAGCCCAGGTTTTGTACCTTTTGACATTGATGCTTCATGTGTGACATCTCTCAGTTTTGAGTCAGGTATACATCTGTTTGATCACAGGCATTCACTTGGGCTGTAGTTTTCTATCAATAGGCATGAGAAAAGAATTAAAATCTTTATGTGGCTAGAGTGTGCTGTGCAGCAAAACAGTACTGAGTAACCTCTTCAGGTGTCATTGCTTCTATGGTCTCTAAAAATGGCTTTTGGTATTTTGAATTTGGGAGTTGTAGTGCAAATCAGGCATTGTTTCAGGGAAACTGGAGTTGAAGTATGTTAATTTGTCTAGGCAAAGTCCTGCTTATGGAAGGCTATGTGCTGCAGTACATTTTTGGGGCTGTTGTAGAAGCTCAGGGTGAAATTCCAACAGTCTGTCCAATAATGTGGTGGTTTAGAGGACTTCCTGTCAGGTTCAGTCTTTTCATTGCCATGAGAATCCATAAGCTCTGTTAAGGATAATATGGTGGAGGGAAAAAATGATAATCACTGCTGGCACTAAAAAGGGGACTGATAGTTGAGTAAAATGCTCATTTCCTTGTATTTGGAAGCTGAGGGGCAGTGGTACTTTACTTTTAGTGGTAACACATATGGTATTTTCTTTTATTGTTTAATTTCACAGATTTAGATGGTCTTGTCCTGTTCCAGCAGCCCTTTCTGAAAAGGGATTTCTTCTGGTGTTTTGGAGACCTTACGTTGTAGACCGTAGACACAAGGGTTCAAGTCACCAAAAGAGCAATGTCTGTTGCACTTTGAAGAACCATGAGCACAGTGGGTTTAGGGCCACATTCTTGAATGGTGCAGTGTACATCTGTCTAACCCTGTGTGGAGAGGATGAGATCCAGTTTTGTCTTACTCTTTGACCTGAATGGGAGGGAACTGTGGTTCTCATCCGTACTCTGACAACCTGTGTCTGTCAAGGTCACAGCAGTACAAGCAGTACAATGTTTAGCCAAGTTAACAGAATTTAGTTGTTAATCTTTAGGGAAGGAGCTAGCACCAGATGGAAGTCTAGGATTGCTGTATAGGACAGGAAGATACATAGCAGAAATTTTACCACTGACTCACCTTTCTGCTCTTCTTATTGCAAACTTTCTACCCCTTTATATGTGTGGTTGATGGCAGTAAGCACTCCTACATGGAGATGCAAATAATTATATTGCAAAGCTCTGCTCTTATCTCTTCTTTTTTTTTTTAAAGTATGAAAAATAAAGACTAGTCTCTATTCCTCTATCAAAATTAGTAACTTTTTTTTCCTTCACATTAACAACTAGTGCATTGTTTCAGGTTTATTCTTGACTTTGCTGTGTTGCCACAGCTTATCCATTCTACTCTGATGCTGTTAAACTATAATGTGTATTACAACAAAATTTATTCTGTCCTGTCCTCTAGCCTCTTTCCTTCTGCCTCTGCCATCTTTTCAAAATGCAAGCAGGCTTAACCAAGCTCGCTTTATTCCATCTAGTTTGACTGTTGGGAGCAGTGAAGACACACTGACCACACTCTTGTGCTGTGGTTGTGTTCTCCTCTCAGACAGCAGTGTGGACTGGGCTGTCATCATCCCCCAGTTGCTTTGAGCAGCCTGCTGCTTCCCACAGTAGGAGGAACTTCTTTTCTCCGTCAGATACTGTTAAAACTTGGGACTGTGAAAAACTTCCTGTTGTGGCTCTGCAGCCTGAAGCTGATAATTTCATGCTGTTCTTTACTAATTTTCTTTACTATAAAAGAGGATGTGGACTTTGTCTTCCTGTGAATGTGTCTGTACATAGCTAGGTGAGAACAGTGATAATGAAAAGTTCTCATGATGGGAATGGAAGCATTATTGGCTGATGACTGTCCAGTAATCTGCATTTGCTTTTCTTATTGAGAAGTGCAAGACCATGTTCACAGGCTCTAAATGCCTGTGGTTGTACAGGTGAGCTGGCTGCTTCATTGCTGGAATCCCTCTCTGTATGTGCTGATATTTTTTTGCTATTTTGTTTAAATGCCATCCCATCAGCAGTGTTAAAGGAGACTGAACAAGCACTCAGCACTGAAGATCCATGGTCATGGTTGGATACATAGATGATTGTGAGCGTGACATTCAGAGATGAGTTTCAGAAAGAAGAAAAAGAGGGTTTTAAAAACAAATAAATAAGAGATGCTATCCAGCAGTCCCAGACACATACCAGACAAGACACTTAAAATCACTGAGCTGTTAACAGCAAGTTTGCCTCACTTCATCAAATGCATCAAGTACAGTTCTTCTGAGAGAGAAAAGATCAAAACTCACACTGATTACCCTCTTGGAGTTTCTTGCTCTTTCTGAGTGTTTTGTTGCATTGCTTTCAGGGGTTGGAGGTTTTAATTTAGTGATTGGCAAACTCTCCCAAGTGAGAATCATTTAGCCATGTTAACAGATTAAGGATTTACAAAGTCAGAAGGCAGTGGTTTGCATTCCAGAAATCTTAGCATAAGGGAAGTTCTTCTAGTGGGTGCAACCAAATGACTCAAAAGCTATTCCATGCTTTTAGAAATACTGGGGTTTTTTCCCCCAGAAATTTTACAGCATCTGATAAAGTAGATGTAGTGTGTTTTAAAATAAACAAGCAATAAAGGTGCCATCAGAACAGGAGAGGCAATCAGAAATAGACTGCTCTGGATGCCTTCTTGTAAAAATCTCTCTTGATAGATTATCTCTCTTAGGCCTATCTGAGGTGTCTGTGGCACCTGCCTATTTTTGCAAAATTCAGCATTACAGTTCTTGTGATTTTCAGGCAGTTACTGGGTTGTGTACTAATAGAACTGTTTTCTTGGCAAATTTATATACCAGGAGAGAAACCAATGTTTGTTTGCTGGTTCTAGCTGTTGTTCATGTTCTATCACATAAAAACAACGGACTTAATGTAACTGAAAGATCACAGACTTGAGTAAAAGGAATTTGGTTTTTCACATTACCTTTATGTACAACTATTTGAAACAGTTCCTCACATATAAGTTTGTTGATTGAATTTTGCAATTTTTTGTACAAAGAAAGTAGGCAAAGACAATGTCCCTGAAGTAGATAACTCTAATTGATCTGCCTACCAGCAATTTTAGCTTTAAATTTTTGCCTTTCTTAAGTCTTCTTAAGATGGTGAGGAAATCCTGATATAGAGAATTTCTTTAAAATGCCCTGTGTTTGTCACTGAAGAACATAATTAGGCAAATCCAGATAGCTAAACTCAGGAATAGCTTCTTTCAGCTTCAGACTTAACTCTGAGTATATGCCTGCACTGGCGAAATTATAGGTCTGTTTTCTTCTTCACCTCTTCACAATCACAGAAGTCTTTTCCTCATTGGTCGCTCTAAACACTTCTGTCACTTTGAATTTGGTCCATTTGTGCTAAAATATTCTTCGCTGCTTGTAACTCTAATCATGTCACAGTTTCTTTGATTCTTCTGGTTACCCTGCTGTTTTACCATACCAAATTCATGCTTCTGGTTCTTACCATCAAAGCTCATTAGCTTGTCTACTTTTGTTTTATTCTTTTGTCTTCTTTTGTCTTCTCACTGCCTCTGCCCCTTGTCTCCAGCCGTCACCGTATTTATCTCTGTCTTCCCTGCCTGTGGCGCGATGTCCTTTATGCACCTGACATCATCTCCCCTCCTTTAAGACATCCTTAGCAGTGACTCCTGTTCAGTGTCTGGAAGCAATCAGCTTGCTAATGATGGCTAGGTTTAGCAGCAGACTAGGGATTGTTAATGGTGTTTATTTATTCATGCTCCTTGTGGAAGATAAAGCATCCAGTTGATTGTGATTAGCTGATCCAGATAACCTCATCCTTATTTTCATCTTTCTTCCCAGTCTCTATCCAAGAGTCTTTATTTTAATTTGTTGTGTGATTCAGTGCTGAAGTTTTAAAGTCAGTGGTTTGTCCTCTTCAGCTGTAGCTTCCATTAGGAGGGCTTCTTCCCAATTGGGAAGCTTGAACTTAATGATATAAATGACAGCTACTGCTACTACTGCACAGTTTTACCCTGGGATTTTCAAGAATCCTCAGGAATGTAGATATGAATGTGATCTTTGGGAATCCTGAATAAACTGTAGCCACAGTTGTTACCTGTAGTGGATTTTACCTTTGGAATTTTTCCAGTTTGTCAAGAGGATACTTGTGAGGTGAAAAAACACTGAAAACAATGTCACTTGAGGTGCTTGGTGGAGAATAAAGTCAGTCCTCGCAGTAGAGGTGAGACTGTAAGACAGCACTAGCAGTGCACACTGTTCCAAGCAGTTAGTTCCCACAGGTAGTGGAAATCAAAGGCTGGATTCCCTGATACGTGTGCTGTGGTTGTTGCTCATTGGCTACCTTGGATTCAGGTGGTTGCAATTTTACTATTCCATTTGAATCAGAATGAAATCAGTGAAATCCTAGTGTCTTAAACTTCAGTGAAAAAGGTCCTGAAAGTTCAAATCGAGGTCAAGGATATTGTATTTGGTCACTGCTCAGAGCTTCCAACCCATCCATTCTACTGCTTTCCCTCACAGATCTTGCACAGGTCAGCTGCTAGAGGTCTTCTTCTTCTCAAGAGATAGCTGTTGCATCCTTTATCCATACCACCTCTGGCATGTTCTTTGGGAAAGACCTCCCAGATTGTGGAGAATCTGTGACCTTTCCCGTATTTACCTGATCTCACCATTCAAAAAGGTTTCCTGGACTGTGATTTTCCTGTTGCAATTTAGAATCATAAAATAAGATCAAAAGTTTTTATATCTATATATATATATATATAGACACTCCTATGAATTCACTCCTATGAATTAACCTACAGCCTTTTTGAAGTCTGGTCTGTGACGGTGCTGAGGCCTTGTTAATGTAGAATATAGAGACAAGAGTGTTGCTTAAAGGGTGTGGGTACAGGTGATGCTGGAATGCTGTCTGCTGGGATCCAGTGATCAATGACTCTGCTGGGATGGACACAGCAGAGTCTGGAATGGAATTTAAGCTTTCCTGAAAAAGTGAAAATCGTCCCATGTTGTGAAATATTTTTTATAATACAGCTAAAGTCGCTGCTTGCTACTGTATAGAGTTATATATATATATATGTATATATTGGACTGTATACCCTCTAAAGGTATATATAACAAATGTGAGCCCATTTTCCATACTGACCGTGTGGGAACCTCATTGGAATTCAGCAAACGACTCCCAGCTGTGACTCACAAATGCTGTATGAGCAAAGCTGTTGTCATAAATAAGCACCAGTTCAGCTGAAATAGTTTCTGGAGAATGAAATAGGTAGGCACTTCATTCTTCCCCCTGTCTGTGTCTGTTTTAAATATAATTGCACTGGTCCTGAGACTTGGGGTGCTACTGCTCTATAGTCTCATTGTGAAAAGCATGTAGAGAAGTAAAGGATGCTTTAAATGATTCACCTGCTGATGTTTTGTTTTGTTTATGGATATGTGTGCATGAGCTGCAGGTAACTGGCAGAAGCAAAAAACCTTTCTCCCAGTATGCATTTGGTTATGAAGGATCTCTTTAATCTTCAGGTGTCTTTAGTGTTTGGAGTAGTACAAGTGGCAGAGCAGAAGATAGCTGCAGATTTTAGCAACTCATGCAAGGGGAGAAAATACAGTGGAAACCAATCAAAGATTTAGCCTCAAGGCATGGAAAACAACTTCTTGAAACATTTATATATGTATTTTTGAAATAGAAAAGCACCAATTGTGACTGTATTTTATCTTAGTCAAGACATCAGAAATGCCATCTGTTGAATTTTTCTACAGAAGGCTAATGGACCAGTTCTTTCCTTAAGAGCGTAGTTTCAAGAGTGAAAGAGAACAAGCTCTTCATTTAAATGATGGAAGATTGAAACTGTATGTACAGAGATTGTTTGAGTATGTCTCTTAATACTTTGTTTTGTTTATAAAGTCTTTTATGTAGAGGATAGGACAAACAGGAAAAACTTGCTGAAGACTTCCATGCTTACTGGTTTTTAACCTTTGAATGTTAATAAGATTTAATTTTGCACTTACTTCAGTTGACCCTCTCTGGTTTTGCTATGCTTGAATTATGCATTCAAAACAAAAACGTCCCTCTTCATTTCTAACAGCTTTCAAGAAATTTGCTGATTTTCTATGTTCCTGTCTGTATCAGAAATTGCTATCTATATCAGAAATTGTAATATCTATATGCTTGTGTATTTTTATCAGCCCTTCCATCATTCTGCCATTTAAGAAATTAATGTTGTACAATATAGTTCCTTTTTCTTTTTAATGAAGTTGATCTATATTATGTATCAAAAGATTCCCTGGTAGTGGCAGGGTTTAGGACATGATATCTTCTCAGCAAACTTGCCTTTGGTTTTTTCGTTGTTTTTGGGTTTTTTTAATAATTTCTGCTTTTATTGCACGATGATCATGGAAAACGGACGTGTCACAGAAATACCTCAAAAGCTGAATTCTCAGGAGAAAATCCTGAGGTGGGGTCCCAAAGCCCCTGTTACAGGCAAGTTGTTTTTGTTGTTGTTAGATGAGTGCAAATGTGCATGAGCTTGTGCAGTACGTGGAGACAGGCATTCTCTCCTAAAGTCGGCACAGCTGAACTCTAGCATATAATGCAGCAAAGAGAAGTGTTAGGCCTAGGTGAAAATACGACTCTGGAGAAGATGTGCTAAGAAAATTTCTTGTGAATTTTTTGAAACCAGGCTTTCAGATTGCTAAGAAACAACAAAGTGTTTCATCAACGGTAAAAATAATGAGAAAGGCCAGAGAAGAGAGGTACACATGTCCTGGGACAAATTTCCTGTGGCATTTAAATATGCTTGTTTGTATTTGGACAGGATATCTTGTTCTGCAACACTGACCTTTCTGCAGTGTCCTTTGCACGTGTGGTCCCGGGAGGGCACTGAGCTCACACACTGGAGTTAGTCTTGCAGGATCAGGCCCCTTGGCAGGGGGAGAAAGATGGAGTGCAGGGAGGGGAGATGGTAGAGCAGGGCAGGTGCTGACAATTAATTCACAAATTGGAAGGGGAGACTCATAAGGTCATTGTGTCCCCCACTGAGCTGTTCATATGCTTATAGAAAATCTTCCCCATCTCCCCCTGCTGACGCGAGGTGAAGGGAGGTGTGGAGCTGACAGGATGAATGATGAAGGCTTCCCCCAACCCATTGCCTCACTGTGATGGAGTGACATATTTAACCTCCCCTGATGATAGTGCTGCAGGTGAAATGAATTATGCGACCCTCTGAATCCCTTATCGGTGCTGGGCCGTCTCAAGGGCTGGATGCAGCTGCTATAATTTTGGAGTTCTTTCCCTGCTTTAATGCCACGTACAAATCATGCACATTTCTCTGCTTGAAGACCCCAGGCTGCTTTGAATATGGAACTGGTCTCCCTAGGGGATGTGAAGGGGGAGGAGAGAGCAGCGATAGGAGATAGAAAACCTGCACAGAATCACTAATCAGACTCTGCCCTGTGTCTTCCCTGGCTGCAGATGGCTCCTTGCTGTGTTGTGAGCCTTGCAAAGCCAAACACCTTCATTGTCAGACTTGCAGAAAGTGCTGTAAGTGTCTGATGTAAAGGGTAGGTGGAGAATGGATAGCTCCATTTTTTGAGATTGCTGGGGAAGCCTAATTAAGCTGGTGATTTTCTTGTTTGGGAAGTAGTCACAGGTAGCCTTGAAGGAAATGAAATATGTCAGTCTGAACCACTTTCCAGTCCTCTGGAGCCATGGATTTTTCTTGTCAAAGGGCCATTGCCAGTTTTACTCTGGAAGGTCAGAACTGCAAATCTCTCTTAGCTTGATTCCCCTTTCTGCAGAGGCATTGTTTGCTCATGTCTCTTGTTTCCTTTCACAGAGAGCTGTGAGCTCTCCTCTAACCTGCATGTCTGGCTGGATAGAAAGATTGTTCTTTTTAAAAAAGCACCGAACCCAAAATCTTAACAGCAACACAAAATGAACTTCACCACACTGAAGAAATAAAGACTGTAGCACTGCAGGACGTTTTATGCCTCAAAGCACTGAGAACAAATACCTCAAAATACAAGTTGTGTGATATTGGATGATTGAAGAACCTGTGGGTGGGGATGTAGTGAAGGTGCTAATAGCACTCCCAGCATTTAATTATTAATGCAGTCTATAAATTGCAATGATCCATTTATACTCATACTCCTTTGGTTTCTCTTCCTGTTGAGATGAAGCACTTGAGACAGTAGGGAACTTTCCTGTACAGTGCCAGGGGCTGTGGGCTCGATCTCCTCTGCTACACATACTCTGTGGGATGGAACTTAGTGGAAATTCTAGAATAAAAACGAAGGAAAAAAATAGGAATAAGATGGAGAGCAGGGAAGGGCTCACAAATACTCTTGTGAACAAGCAACAATTTGTTAGTATGTGTAGGAACTTTTGTCAGTTATGAAGAGTTGTGTCAGATATTCTACTGACTGCTCAATCATTTTCACTGTCTTCCAATAATACATAGTAGAAAATCTGTATTCTGAATAAATTCAAGTTGTTTTTTTTTAATAGAAAACATTCAGTGTTTTATTTTATGATTAAAGATAATTCAGGAAAAGAAAAAAGAACCAGAAAAATACCTTAGTTGATTCTGAAGGACTTGTACAGGTCTAAGGCTTTCTTAATTTCTTTCAGGCTATTTGTAAACATTTTTATAAGGTTGTCAGGTGTCACACTGCCTGAAAACTTCTGCAAGCCCTGATAAAGGCAGATTTTTCCTGCATTCAGTAATGGGTATTGGCTTCATTGGAGAAACAGTCAGCAATAAACAAGTAATAACTACAGAAATCCTAACAAGAGGAAATGATGGAGGAATTAGTTTCCCAAAGTTTTATTAATGAGCATGGCTTCTTTTCTCTGAAATGTAAGATAGCTCTTTGCTCAACAGCATCAGAAAATGCTGTCAGAGATCATGCAACACTTCTGAAGTATGTTACTTTATTTTCCATGATTCAGGAGGCTTTTTTGTTCTCATCTTCCTGCATACTCTTGCATTCAATTTCATGTACACTGGCTTTACACAAAATAGCTTTTAAAAAAATTAGCATATTTTAGTTGTTTGGTTTCAGTTCGTGATGGAAGTTTATTTTAGCATTGTATTGGGTTATGTGTATACACTGCTTATGTTTACTTCACTCAGCTGCTTGGCATAGAAAGAGAGTTTTAAGTGTTGAAATGTTATGTGCTTGTCATGGGAAATAGAAGAGGAGAGTACATTATTTTGCGAGGAAAACTGCGGATTGTTACTTTTGTTCTGTTACATTTCTGGTATTTCATCTTGTTTCATAACATTTGTTATGGGCTGCATGTTGCTGCTCATGCTGGAGGATGGTTGGAGAGAAGACATAAAGAAAGGTGTCAGTTCTGATTTCTCTTCTCAGAGAAACCAGAGGCTCATGTTTGTGTTAAACAGGAAAAAAGTACTTCGAAGGATTGCTGCCAAATACGTCTGGGTTTTTTGTGTTTTAGTTTTCATGCCTTTCATCACAAGAGGCATTGTGCAAGTGTAGAGAATTCAATGGGTAAGAAAGAATAAATAGGTGCCAGTTTCAATTTTGAAAGTCTTTATCTCTCTCCTTATGAACTGTGTATAGGGACGGCATTTTTCTCTTGTCATATTTAGGGAATTTGCTAGCTTAGTCTAGTCAGCATTTCCTTATGTTTCTTGGTGATTGCTGAAGTTACTAGATTATTTTGAGACACCTTTACTTATGCTGTCTGTCTCCTGTGTGTGGCTGAATGATACAAGTGCATCTGACTGTATCTCCTCTCCTTCTCCATGCTTGGTCCTGGCTTTCATAAGTCTTAGGTTTTGAGACTAGTGTTAGGAGCACCCCTTATTCCAAAGCTGGCTGGAGGGTGAGCAGGCAAAAGTGAGAGAGACAGCAGCAATTTTGAAGGCATTGACATACAAATTTCTCAAGGAGGGGCTGTCAGTATCGAGTGCTGGAACATGAATTTTACTTTCCAAGTGTGTCAGCACTTGCAAACTGCTGCTCTGCCTTGTATGTGCTGCATGCCTTGCTTTGGGTGCAAAGCAGACTGGCAAACCTGGGCTAAGGCTTTGTTTGGAAGCTGGGCTGTTTAGCAGAAGGGACCAAGAGAAGATGAATGACTTTACACAAAGTGTTTGGGATCAGT